AGTAGGATTGCCCAACCTTCCTTCTGAGGAGTGGCTGGTGGGTTTGAACCGCCAGCCTTCTGGTTAGCAGTCAAGTGCCTTAGCCACTATGCTACCAGAGGTCCTTATAAATCTTTACAGAAGCAGATTACTCAGCTTTCTCCCACTGAGCTAGTGAGTTCGAACAGCTGACCTTTTGGTTAGCAACTACCTACTTTTACTACTGCACCACCATAACTCCTTATAAAATCAATACCCAAACCAAACCAAACTCACTACCATTGAGTGGATTCTGACTCATAATAACCCCCACTGGGTTTCCTAGGTGGTAAATCTTTATGGAAGTAGATTGCCTCATCTTCCTTCTGCAGAGCCACTGGGGAGTTTGAACCACCAACCTTCTGGTAAGCAGTCAAATGCCTTAGGCACTGCATCACCAGAGCTCCTTATATAATAAGTGTAATAAATTCTTGTGCCAAATCACCACAAATATGTTCCCCACGCTACAATTCCTTTTCAGTCCCCTAGTTCAAGATCTTAACATTTCTAACACAGAATACTTCAATATTCTATTGAGGAAAAAGTTAGTTTTCTGAAATACATAAAGATTTAAGTCATTCCTCTTTTTAAAACATTTGCTGACCTCTATTGCCTTAAGAAAAGGTGCCTACAACTTTGAATATAAGATTCTTCAGAAAAACTTTTCAATCTTGGCTGTAAAATATAACCTATTGCTCATGCCATACCATAAAAACCAACGCCACTTTAATAAGAATCTCAAGAGGGACACAGGCATCAGCATTTTTTGAAGCTCCCCAGGTGGTTACAGTGTGATATTAAGACCAAGAACCACTATGCTCACTTCTTTCCTAACTGAGTTTCTCTCTCCTCTATCTCGAATTCTACCTACACAGACTATGTCATCTCCTCTAATAATATTTATGTTTTTGCTCATGCAAAAACTTTGTGTTCCTAAACAATTTCTCCTCCCTGGTTCATACTTCAACCACTTTCTTGCTATATAGTTGATCCATTAACCCGCTGTTCTTCTACCATGTCATCTGAAAAGACTACAGATCTAGATTAGTTCAACAGTCTTCTTTGTACTTAAAACTGTGCTATCAAGTAGAAGTGAAGAAAATGTTAATATCATACAGATGACACATTAGTGTATAGTCTCCATCTCCATTCAAATTCTAATGCTGCCTGATGATTTTTGTATGGTCACTCACATTTCACATAATAGCTATTTTAAGACCTTCTCCACCTAACTTCAATCTTCTAGATCTCACCTCTTGCTTCCCAGAAAAAAATTGAAATGGGTAATAAAAACTCCAAATTCCTATAAATGTATGAATTCCTATCTTTTTAATTTTTTTGTCTTTGTATTACACTGGAAAAAGCATCTGTTTTCCTATATAAAGCATATGTTCCACCTACATATGATATCTCTCTAGGATCCTTCAAAGCCTTGTTTTGTGGAGGGGGGGAAAAATATATATATATATATATAATATTAATTTATATAAAAATTATATATATAATTTGTATGGAGCTCTGGTGGTGTATTGCTTAAGGTATTTGGCTGCTAACCAAAAGTTTGGTGGTTCAAACCCACCAGCTGCTCTTTGGGAGAAAGATGAGGCAATCCACTTCTGTAGAATCCCTTTGGGGTACTTCTACTTTGTCCTATAGGGTCACTGTGAGTCAGAATTGACTCTATGGCAGTGTTTATTTATTTTTTATTGTTCTTTATCATATGTATATTAGTTACCTAGTGATACTGCCTTGGAAATCCAAAGAGGGGTCGCTATGAGTCAGGTCTGACTCCACGGCACAAAACAGCAACAACAGTGTTGCCATAACAGAAATACCATAAGTAAAATGCTTTAACAAACAGAAATTTACAAGGGTTGCATCCCACTCTAGTCTTCTTACAACTGGTTGGGTGATTACATCATGGGGATGATAACTGCCAAACCACTGAGAATCAT